ACCAATTGCAAGCAAACAATAGCCTTTTTATTATGGCCAAACAGTGAGTCATACATGTAGGAACAAAGACTGTAGACCATAATTACAGGATTGGGCTGTTTGTTCTAGGAAGCAGTGAGTCTGAGAGTCTTAACATTGAACATGAGCACCCAGTGTGATGCTGTGACCAAAAAGGTTGGAACAGTACTTGTATATATGAACTAGGGATGTAAGCGAGTAATTGACTACTCGACAAGCATAAGCTTATCAGGTCTTCAAGTTGAGTACTCGATTACTCGCTTCCACATCCCCTTGCTGCCTCTGTATGAGGCGCGGAGGGGAGGGAGAGGGAAACAAGAGCTGGTGCTGGGGGGCGCTGGCTTAAAAGCTGGTTCCCCCCAGTGCTGTCTCTGTGGTGCTGCCTGTCCCTGTCCACCCACACTGCCTCTATCTGAGGCAGTTGGGGTGGGGGGAGAGATAGTGAAGGCTACTCTGGTAGTAGCCCCTGTTCGCGGTGGCCCAGGCTGGCCGTGGGCAGGCGCCCAATTTGTATCGACTACATGATTAGCCAAATAACCGCACTTCAACATCCTTAATGTGAACAGAGCAATCTTGAGTAGAAGTAGGGAGAATATTACTATTATATTGGGCAGTGGTGTGACTGCTGCTGGAATACTGTTTCTAGTCCTAATGTCTACAAGTGAAGAAAGTTGTTGATGAATTGGAGAAGATTCAGAGAAGAACTATGAGAATGACTAAGGCATATTTACTAAACTGTTAATCAAAGAGTTTATTTGGCTTCTTAAAGAGAAGATTAAGGAGTGACTTGATTGCAATCCGTAAGTATCTATATTAGGGATGTAAAATCCTGTTTAATTGGATAAGGGCTTAAACATATTGTTGAACCAGTTAATTGCTGGGCTGGAGCAGCCTCTGCCCCTCCCCAGCCCCCCTGCCACAAAGGCTGCCCTGGCCAGGCTGGAATAGCCCCTGCTTATGGTGGGTCCAAGTGCCCCACAGGCAAAGGCTGCTCCAGCGTCCCAGTCAAAGCAGCCCCTGCCTGTGGGCTGCCCAAGTTGTTGCAGACACAGGCTGGCTGGAGTGGGCCCCCTGTGGGGCTGGAGCTCCCCCACTGGTTAAGGTTAACCAGTAAGCCTTGTCCATTAAGGATGAGACTTACCAGTTAAACCTTCACATTTCTAAGCTACATGGTGAACAAATATTTGATAATGGGCTCTATGATCTAACAAAGAAAGGTATGATAGAATGAAGTGGTTAGAAATAAAAGCTAAATTTAATATATTAAAGAGGCTTTTCCTAGAATAAATTAACTGATTTTTGTACTGGGAGGTAGAGGTTCAACAAACATATATACAGTCAAGGATAGTTTTCAAGGACAATGTATAGAGGAAGAAAGGACTTTTTATTGTCTTATTAATTTTTCTTTCCTACTAATATTCAGCTGTTGATTTATAGTTACTATTGCTAAAACACACTTGTGCTGTTACTGTAGTTTTAGTAATCTAAACCTCTGACACGGCAGAATGACAGTAAAAAGTGAGCAAAATTACCCTAATTATTTTTTTAAAAACCCTACACACACACACACACACACACACACACACACACACACACACACACACACACACACACACAGTTTGTTTTGTCATATTGTGGTTGTTCCACTCTCAGCCATGTTTGAACTTTACGTCCCAGGTTTTTACCTGTTTACAAAATAGTTATGGTTCCATGAATATTGCAAATTGAAGCTATGTTGTAACAAGGTTCCAGGCCTCTGTGTTATCATGGGTTGCCTACATTTATTTGTTTGTGAGTTAACAGTTTACAAATTCAGTGTGGAGAGGCAAACTGGTTCTGCAATTCTAACTTTGCACTACAACAGTTGTAATTCAGAAAACCAACTCTCCTCATCATGCTGTCCTGATCCTGGGCCATCTGTGCACTGAGAGTGACCTCTGGTGCAAGCCAGGGGAACCTAATAGCTGACTTTGTTTGCCAATGGTCCCAAAGGAGTTGGCAAGTAACTTGGAATCACTGGGTCAGAAGTATACCTTGTGCGCTGGCGGGGATTACACAGGGGTCAGATTGCTGTTTCTACACCCCTACCTTAGCTATGGTGAATCTCCAGCAGTGTGCCTCAGGGCTGTTGGAGTTATTTTCAGAGCAATCTTAGAGCAACTCATGCTCTATTTATTCAGGAACTATTGTCCACGTGTCCTTGTTCTGATCCTGTGCCTCACACACAAGTTTCTTAGATTGGTAATGTAGAATTAAAGTCTTTGTAACTCTGGGAACTGCTGTGACCTCCTATACCAGTGACTCCTATACCACTTTCATCGTGGCAGATGAAACCTCTCCCACTTGATGTTATATTCCCTTTTTCAACCCTTGTTGGTCTTGACTGGAATCTGACCTTTATATGAATTTTAATTTATTTTCTGTAGTCAAGATGATTTTTAACTTGGCTTCTCCCTGCTGCTAGTTTTTGGTGTAGAAAATATAAAGATAACAATCCTGTTCAGACCTGGAAAGAGTCCCTACTTACAGCTTAGGGTATGGCTAGACTGTAGGGGGGTTTCAGGATACCGGGGGTATCCCGAAAAAACGCCGCATCCAGGGAATGTTTGTTCTTTCGTGTGGTTTTTTTTTTTTTTTTTGCAGAAGACCAAATGAGCTCTTTTGGAAGCTCCTATATTCCTTGTTCCGACATTTGGCCAGTCTAGACTGGCCAAATGTTGGAAAAGCATCTTCTGACAAAAAAAATCGGAAAAAGCTACGCAAAATGCTGAGTGCATTTTGCGTACTTTTTTCCAACAAAAACTTGTGGTCTAGCCATACCCTTATGTTCTTTTGCCTCTCCCTCCCCCTCGATGCTAGCAAGAATAACTCTGTAGATTATCTGGACAATTATGTTTTTAAAGCAGATTTGCCTCAGTTAGTTCCTGTAAAGCTGTTAGGTGCCTCAGGATGGGTAATTTCAGTTACCCACTTATCTGTGCGTGTTCCAGTGGAAATAGTGTGGGTGGTGCCCTTTATCTTCAGTAAAGTTGTGACCTCTTAACCTAGTACTACTGAGTTTAAGAAATGGTGATACATGATATTTAACAGTAAAACAAGCCTAGATTGCCTCCAGTTTCTGCAAATAATTCTCGGTGTGTGTTTTCTTAGTGGAGAAAGAAACCAGAGTCTTGTCTCTGTAGTTTGGCCTATTTTAATTTCTTAGGGAGAAGTTCCTTTTTGCAGGTATGTTCTGTGGCCCTGACAATTATTTTTGTGTGTATGCAATTTTGAGGTGAGAATTGTAGGAGGTAGCTGGCTGGGAGCTAAAGAGGGAGAACTAGATGTAAACTGCTTTTTTTTTTTTTTTTTTTTGGTGTGGTGGTTGCCAACCTTTTGAAATCTCCTTTGCAGAGGTCAATTACATAGCTTAAGTAGAAATAGCTTAATTCGGCTTTTGGCACTGTCTACACAGCAGGCATTTGAAGGAAGAACACTCTTACTTCGACTGTACGCCTCATGAAATGAAGCTTACAGGAGTCGGTGTAAGAAGTCCTCCAGCTTGCCATTATTTTGAAATAAGGGCTTTCAGTGTAGACACAGTCTTTGTTATTTCAGAATAACATGAGTTCTGAAATAATGCTGCTGTGTAGACATAGCCTAAGTGTTGTAGCCATGTCGGTCTCAGGCTATTAGAGACAAGTCAGTTAAAAAGTGTATACTGTTAGACAAAATTCTGTTGGTCAGACAGACACTTTTGAACCATGCAGAGCTGCTCTCCCATGTTTAATATCTCTATTTGTTGCTCTTGTAAAAAGTGTTTCTTGAATTTGATCTTTTAATTCAGTACATATAACAATTCATTAATTATCAAGGTTCAGATTTGTGGAGATGATTAACTTTAAGCACTTTAACTTCTTTTTATGCACAGGCTTTTATTCAGGACACAGGGACTAGATCTTAAATGAAGAGCACAGTTGCAAATGTGGTATACTGTCCTTTTTATATAAAAGGAATAGAAAATGTAATCGTATCTCCCCCTAAAAGAAAATAGTTGCTTGATATTTGTCTTCCACTGGTTTAGCAGGTGGCACATGGGTAACCCTTTCTATAACACAACTTAACACTGAATGTGGACAAGGCAGTTCGTAGGGTTTTTAAAAAAATAATATCTGGCTGTGGTTAGCCATAGGATCCTTCATGTTCTTACATGTGCCCTTCCCACAAGAAAATAAGACATATTGATAACTAACATTTTAGCCCTAACAGTTTAACTTACATAATGTTATGCAGTTTCTGAGATCACAATGTCAAAGGGTTGCATGGATATCTCCTGGAACATTATTAGTTAAACTAAAAATCATCACTGCATGCAGTAGGGATATTAGATGCTGTATAATTGAATAGTTGTGTAACCTCATGAAATCTTAGCAGTTACACAACTATTCGATAGTCCCTGGGAGCGGGGCAGCCCCCTGCACATTCTCAGCCCCACTCCCTGGGAGCCCCCTGCCACCATGCGCTCTTGTGTCTGATACAAAGGCAACAAAGGGAAGGGAGAAATGTGTGTAGTTTTCAAGATTAAACGATAAGCTTTGGCTTTTCAGTTAATCATGTACAGGCAGTCCCCGACTTACGCGGATCCGACTTATGTCGGATCCGCAGTTACGAACGCGGCTGCCCCAGAGTACACGGACTGCGGGACCTTGCTGCTGAAACTGACCGCCAGTTCTGACTTACATACAGAATCAACTTAAGAACAAACCTACAGTCCCTATCTTGTACATAACCCGGGGACTGCCTGTAGTTGTCTACACAATGACATCCCTAGTAAGCAGCAGTCTGTACAAATATTCTCCAGAACTGGAGTGCTTTCAGTATGAGGTGCTGCATAAGGGCTTCCTATGCTGCAGTACTCCCACTCAGTATGTGTAATAGTCAACCTTTTTTAGTTCTCATATAACATATGCTCTCTTTTTCTGTCCTCCCATTCCCCTGTCCAGATCGAATTCAGTTGCCCAGGAATATGATTGAAAACAGCATGTTTGAGGAAGAACCTGATGTGGTTGACTTGGCAAAGGAGTCTTGCCTGCATCCATTGGAGCCTGATGAGGTAGAATATGAGCCAAGGAGTTCACGACTACTGGTGCGTGGCCTTGGAGAGCATGAAATGGATGAGGATGAAGAGGATTATGAGTCATCAGCAAAATTGCTGGGCATGTCATTCATGAATAGAAGTGCGGGTCTTCGTAATAGTGCAGCTGGCTATAGACAGAGCTCAGATGGATCATGCTCAGTGCCCTCTACAAGGACCATGGTAGTTTGTGCAGCTGTTCTTGTGATTGCTGTTGCAGTAATAATGGTGATCTACCTTCTTCCCAAATGCACCTTTACCAAAGAAGGCTGCCATAAAAACCGTACAATGGAACTTATATATCCTCTTGCAACTAATGGAAAGATATTTCCATGGGCAAAAATCAGGCTTCCTTCATATGTTGTACCGCTACACTATGATCTTGTGTTACAGCCAAACCTAACAACTAAAGAGTTTGCAGGTTCTGTACGGATAACTGTTAATGTCATCCAGGTCACCTGGAATATCATACTTCATAGCTCAGGTCTTAATATCACCGAGTCAGACAAAAGCAGTTGAATTCCTGGAATATCGAATGCATGATCAGATAGCAATCGTGGCCCCTGATGCTCTACTTGTTGGTCAGAACTATATCCTAAGCATAGACTATTCATCTAATTTATCAGATACCTATTATGGGTTTTACAAAGTCTCCTACAAGGATGAACATACTAAAAAAAGGTAGGTGTATGAATAACTCTCCTCATCCCTCTATTTCTAGGTTGTTTTTGTATATACTCATTTGCAGGGCTTGACAAACCATGGCGAAATCTACTCGCCAGCTCTGCACTGTGCATGCACCAGACCCGCATTGTGCATGCGCACGCCACTGGTGAATGGGGTGACTGGCTGAAATCTACTCACCACGGGCGAGTAGATTTGACTGATTTATCGAGCCCTGCTCATTTGCACTTGATTCACTAATTAAAAGTAATGATGGCCAGTGTGTGGGGGAAGCAGTGATGGTGGCTGTATGCTCTTCTTTAATCAGCACTTGAACCCAGAAGTGCATAAGCAAAGGAGTTCTTCAGGAGACAGTTGTTAACAGAGAGCCTGTCTGAAAACAAGCAGCACTTTTGTGTTTTTATATTAAATAAAAAATCCTTTTGGAAATACAACTTTTACTCTGTTTTTAAAATTAATTCTTTATGTATGTTGGCAGTTTACGCAAATATCTGCTTCACTATCCCATGGTGGGACCTGAAGTTATTAATTATTAGAATCAACACTGCTTCAAGAATCCTCTTGCAGGGGTTGGTTCATTACAGTGGAGCACAATCCTTCAGTTTGATTCATTTTCCCACCTTGTAGATGGTGCTCTTGTTAGGTTATATTAAGCTTAGGTCCTTTCATAGTTTTGTCTCAAATTAGTTTTGTTGGTATTGATGATGAGTCACTGCTGCAGAGGGTTGATGCTCTTAACCATAAATGTTAATTAAGGGATTTTTTCTGAAAGACTACTTGATCTACCTCTTACCAAGTCAATAGACAATAATCAGTGTTGTACTATGTGCCTTCCTTTTGGCATCTTAGAAATAGGCAAGTAATAAAAGTTTGGTATTTTTCTCCATCTACTGCCAGGATGTGATGGTCTTAGTTATAAAAGATAGTACCTGACTCTTTTTGAGGAGTCTTGTTGATTTCAGTGGGGCTAGTTGAGTAAATTAAGTGTTGAACAATCTAACCAATAATCTGTTGAGGTTTCACCTCTTAATTAATGTCACATAAGGGAAAAGGGACCTGAATAAATCCAGGCTTAAAATTGTCTAATCATCTTAAAAAAGAAACTCAGCTAAATGAATTTTTTGGTAGACAAGCAAGAGAGCTATGTAGTGTAGGCAAGATTTGTTTTGCTCTTCTTTCACTATTGTTTTAAAAGAAAGTCAAGTTTAACTAGATGAAACGGTTGTCTCTCACTGCCTTTTCCCAAAGCATGCTAATGGTGATAAATTAAAAGGCAACGTAATTAAAAATGTAAAAGTAAATGTGGCTTAATATTGCTTAAAATTAAGCTGTAGAACTTGTCATTAAAGTAAATAGCTTAATACATACAAGAAAAGGGTGGTATACATATTTGTCATAAGAATCCTGTTTCTAAAAAACACTACTCTGAAGAGTAGATCAACCTGCAAGATTAAATACAATACACAGCCAGAGGGAAGAAGCTGAGAAAGCAAGCATTATAAGTAAATATATGAACTGCTACAAAAGTTGGGATACAGGTTAAACAGTCTATAGATGCACTGTTAGCTGGTCATAACATCAGGAGGACTCCTCAGGTAACACAGATACTGCCCTCCAGTCCCCAAGTGATACACTTTCCGGTATAACTGGGCGTATCTGTGGATTTATGACTGCTTCCCCCCCTCCCCACCCCCTCAAAAGCACTTGGCTTTTGAAGACTTCTGGGTTAGAGACCACTGATTTGTTCAGTGTGGCTATGTCTGGCCGAAGTGTTTTCTGAACAGTCAAAAACAGTTCCATATTTTCGTAGTAAGAAAAACCTTATCCACAAACATCAGGGAAGGGTTATTCAGAAGCATATGGTGAAACTCTCTCACTGGATGGTACCTGGTGACAGATACTTTCCCCCAGTATTTGTAGCCAGCTGTTGATTTTTTCTTTCTTATTATTTTTGGCTTTGAATTAAAATACCAAAAGGAGGAAAAAAAGACAGCTCACCTAGCATAAGAATGCTGCTGCTAAACAACAAAAGGCAAAATTTATTTATGCCAATCATTGAGGGCAACTGGTTCTATTTTGCTGTCATTTTCTATAGCATTACATTCCCTTTCCAAAAAGCCTCCCTTCATTCTCCACATTTTAATTTACTTTCAACGTTATCGGTTTTAAAAATGCAGGAAACCAACTCAGAGCTAATGTGTGAATGATAAAACGCAGCATCTGAATTTAGTGAGCTAATTTATCAGGCTGGCATCAAAGAAAACAAACTATTTCTTTATCTCTTGGGAGGGAAGGAGACTGAATTTTCTCCCCTAATCCTCTATTGACATGGTTTTTTAGGGATGTTGAATTTTGATTAATCAGCTAATTGAATTTCCATAAACTACTCGATTAGTTGATAAGGGGGATGCTCGCTATCCCACTGCACCTCCCCCTTTGAAATGTACAAGAGCCACCTGCGGCTCCTGTATGCTTCAAAGGGCCCTGCTGGCACCGGGTTACCCCCTGTGCCTTCTCCTTTGAAATGTACAAGAGCCGCGGGTGGCTCTTGTACATTTAAAAGGGAGAGTTGCAGTAGTCAGGACCTCCACAAGCAGGACTGTTTCAATCCCCACTTGTGCCATTTCCCCACTGCCCTCTGCCTCCCCTGCACCCAGCACTGGCTTGTGTTCCCTAATAGGCAGCAAAGAGGGGGGAGAAGTGATTAGTAGAGTTTCTACTAGACTACCTGATAAGCATTTGCTTATGGGGTAGTCGAATCGTTGCTTACATTCCTAGGTTTTGGGGTTTTTTTCTGCTGAGAATGAGAGGTTAGAGTAAATTGACTGTTGAAACATTGCCATACCCCAGCTTTCAAAAAGAAAACTCTTATTTTTCACCCCGTACACCACTTACATTCTGCGTTATTTTTTCCCTTGTTTTTGAGATTTGAGCTTTATTCCATAGCCACAAAAACCAGAAACCTACTTTAAAAAAAAAAAAAGAAAAAAGACAGCCTAACACTGGAATGATTCTAGGAGTTTTCAGAAAAAAGGCCAGATACCCACAAGTCTTATATTTACAATCTCAGAAGGTGGTACTTTTTCCTGTTGAGCTGAGCAAGAGCCAAATCTGAAAGCAGTCCTCACAAGATTGTGCAGTACCTGAATGGCAGTCAACCTATAAGCCTTAAGAAACTGATACAAATATGTGTGTCAGAGGTTAATATTAATGGACGGTAAAATGTAGTGAGTTTCCAAGCCTTGTCTGTCTAGATCAGAATAGAGTTGAGAGGCAGCTTTTGTTATCTTCACAGACAGTCCCTGGTGACAAAGATGGAGGAGAAGGGAGGGAGTGCAGAATAGCTTTGAAAGGAAACAGATGTATGCTTGGAGGAGTAGGAAAAATATAGTGGGTAGATTTGCAAAGATTCAAGAGAATGTTATCAGTAGATATAAATGTCTGTCTGTTTTGGACACATGCTTTTTCTATCCATTGTGAGATGTCTAAGGGAAGCTGGAAAGAAATAAGCATTTTGGGGCCACATTTGGAAGATGTGTTGCATTCTTCTATTCTCTAGTACAGTGGTTTTCAATTTTTTTTTCTCATGACCCAGTTGAAAAAAATGGTTGATGCCCATGACCCAACATCATTTGACTAAAGTGTGGGCTGTGGGTGGGGGCTGAGGACTAGAGCTTTGAGGTTTCAAAGGGGACTCCAGCTTTGGGGAGGGTGTCTGGGTCAGGGCAGGAGGGGCTTTCCTTGAGTGGCACCCAGTTAGCGGTGCAGCAGGGGTGCTAAGGCAGACCAGTAGCAGGTTCCCAGCCAATGGGAGTGTGGAGCTAGTGCTCAGAGCAGGGGCAGTACACGAAGCCCTGTGCACTCTCCCTCGTCTCCCTACGTAGCTGAGCCTGCTATCTGCTGCTTCTGGGTCGCAGCACAGTCTGTGCTGCAAGGACAGGCAGGTAGCTTGTCTTACCACCCCCACTGGTCATCTGATTACCCTGCAGCAATGAGACCCAGTTCCTGACATTCCACGACCCAGCATTGGGTCACGACCCATAGTTTGAAAACCACTGCTCTAGTCCCTACTAGGGATGTTAAATTTCGATAAACCAGCTAAACGAGTAGTCAATGGAATTT